ACAGGGGAGAGTATGTGAGCCCTGTATTTTTGCTTACAGATCTCTGCTTTTATGGAAGAAGTGATGCCATTTTCCCAAACTGAACTGTGCTTGCTCCACTTTCCCGCGCATTTCAAAACAGTTCAGAGCAGGAAACGCCAACCCTTTATCTTCTGCTTGTAGGGTTCATTGTAGTCACTCCTTTTAAAACGTTATTTTGCCATATCCAGCCTGACCCAGCACCCTTTTCATTTCCTGTGATTGTTAACAATTCACTTTTGTACAGAGGCTCTGTAATTGAGGGCTTCCTGGCTTTCCATGATGTTCTTTTGTACCAACCTTACTTTTCCACATTTCAAGTCTGAGATTTTTTCTTCTGGCATACTGAATGCTCGTCGAAGGACATTAAGAGACTTGCCTCCTATCTTGCTGCATTTCCCTGGAAACTGGCTCTCCTTTCCTTCTCTGTCAGTTTCACCACTTGCTTCTGCTAGGGAGCAACTGCAGTTTTCCCAGGGAGGGACTACAGCCTTTTCCTCTCTGTTGCCAGCTTCCTGGCTTGATAAGCTCCACCTATTCCTGCACAGGTTACCGGTTAGCCTTATTCCAGATATGTTACAGACACTAAAGAGTGAAGGTGCATGGAGAATGAACTGTCCTGTCACCTTTACAGGTGAGATCATGCTCAGGAGAACTTACACTGCTGCAGCTTGTGCTATTTCCAGTGCCCCACTGGTGCCAGCACTCATATTTGGCATTTTTCCATAAGCTCCAGCTCCTGGAGTCATGTGATTATGTGATTTAAGGAAAAAGCGCTGAGGTAAAGTTTCTGGCCCTCAGGTGTGCAGAGGAAAGTTAGAAGGTTTGATCCACGAAGGGTCCAAAAACAGAAGGCAAATGAAGATGCCGTCCCTGTGACACTGGCTGACTCATTGCCAACTCATGCCATGGTCCCCAGGCCCCTACTGAATACTGCCGTCCCTGTGACACTGGCTGACTCAGTGCCAACTCATGCCATGGTCCCCAGGTCCCTACTGAATACTGACGAATACACAGCTGAAATCAGTCTGCCTCGTCTGAATGTTAAAATAGGTATTAGAATTACAAGAGTGTGTTTAGCATTTGACTTTACCACATTCAGCAATTGACAAGCATTCCATAATCTCACACTTAACATCTGTAGTCCATAATATATGGTAGTACTTGAGTGTTTGAATTGCAAGCCTCTGAAACTGATGAGAGAGAGAGAAAGATTATCTAGTGTAAAGCTCTGATCACCAAGAGAAGGTGTTTTGTCTGGCCAATGAGGAAGTCTCAGTAACATCAGACAGTCTAGAATGGAACGTTAAAGAGGACGAAAGACTATTGTTTACTTCCCTCAATCTCCTGTGAAGGTGGGTCTTGCGAAGAAATCTTCTCATCAGCTGAGTTTGCAGTTCAGAGCAGAAGGGAGGAATCAAATCTTTCTGCTGCTTGGATTGGGATAGCGGAGATTTATTAGACATAAGAAAACAATCCAAAGTGCTCAGCCTGGGGTAGCCCTAAAAGATGTTTAGAGTTGGTTTATCATAGCAGCTTTTATAGTTTGGAAACGTAAGAATGTAACTCAGTTGTGGTGGTATGTTTTCCGGCTATAACCTTGCAAATAACTCTCTAATTTCCTTTTCCTCTATAATAAGTCTTTAGATAGTTTATAAGACCGGTGACAGGCATTGTCTTTGTTGTGACGTCGAAAGATCTAGGGTAAGTGGCTGGTCTTTTGGGACTGGAAGTAATCTGAATATTTGCTGTGATCCTTGGTGTAAGGGACCCTCTAGCATGAAGATACTCTGAAAGGGGGGGAGGGGTCAGTGAGACCAATCAGAGTAGCTAAAGGGACAGTCTGTGAGACTCTGGTTAAAGTTGGTGTAGTGTTCAAGGAGTTTCACTTGATAACTGTTTGGTGAAATCAAAGGCCAGGTCTACACTAGACGCGGTAGCTCGGCTTAAGGTATGCAATTCCAGCTACATAGATTACATAGCTGGAATTGGCTCACCTTACGCCAAGCTTGGTGGCATCCCCACAGCGGGAGGCTGACAGGAACAAATGCTTCTGCCGGCTTCCCTTACTCCTGGCAAGAACAGGAGTATCGGACACTGGTGAGGGCGCCCTCTGAATTCGATTTAGCAAGTCTTAACCAGACTCACTAAATCAAACTCCGGAAGATCAATCGCGGCAGTGTCGATCTTCCATGGAGCGAAGATGTGCCCAAAGTAGTATCGCGGCAGTGTCGATCTTCCATGGAGTGAAGATGTGCCCAAAGTAGCGCCCTCAGAGCTCATTTGTGGTTTATGCCCTGCTGCCTTGCAGTCTGCCCTGGTGCTGGTACTCATGCTCTTTGATTTAAAACAAACAGGAGTTGTGGGAATGTTTTAGGGAGGAGAGGCTCTGAATCTTATGATTTCTGTGGGCTTTCTGGTAAGCCAGCCATTCCCTCAATAAGATTAACTCAGTCTGAGTCCCCTGAGAAGTGGACACCTTTCACCAGATCTCAGTTCAGTTACAGTAACAATAACAATAAGACCTGTAACGGGGAGGGGGGGGCTGGGTACATATTTATTTTAATTTGATGAATGCTGAGCCTTCCAGGCTAAAAATAGTTGCTGCTAAGATTTATTGCAAAATGTCCTTGTGTCTCCTGGGAAAATCTATGCTAGGAAAGCTGGGAATTTGGGCCAAAAGTATATATTCCCAGTCTTAGAAAAGGTACATAACAATGGACTACTGCTTTTACCCTCAGGAAAGCAGGAAGACCTGTTCCATGGGGGAGCAAAGGGAGCACAGCCAAGCTTTCTTCCATTTTTGCTTCAGGAAATTAAGTCCCTAGTCCCGCTATGAGAGACTCCCAGAGTCCCTCGTGACTTCAGTGGAATGCCTCCTGCATTTATGTCATTGGAGAATTGGGCTTGAGTCACTTCTCTTCCCCCCCCTTGTGTTTTAGTTAAGTGCTTTTATATTGTGCTACTGCAGTTGTCATGGAAGTTTTGGGTAGGCCAGGAAACCAGAATTCCCATTCTCAATAGTAAGTTAGGATTAAATGATTGGCCCCAAACTCGCTGAAGTTCTGCACACAGAGCACCTATTAACATCAATGCCAGGATTGGGCCTGTTTTTGGTCCTAGAAACAAATACCCTTTTGACTTGCACAAGGACAGTGCCTACAAACCTCAGAATGAGCTGAGAGTGTCTCCATGGCAAAGAATCCTGACTAGAATCCCGAATCCAAAGATTCTAGAATCCTGACTCCCAATCAGTAGCTCCACCCCCTTTTCCTCTGCCAATTTCAACACCCAGGGCAATGCTGACGTTTTGAAATCTCTTTCTGTTCTGAATCAGAATGAAAAGTGGACCTGTAAAAACGTCTTGGCCAAGGTGAACTCCAAAAATTTTTTTTAGATAATGTCAAAATGACATGATATTAAATCTATAAAATTTTTCAATGGAATATAGCTAAATGAGAAAGTTATATGAAGCATTGTTTCTTTATTGTAATGAGTTTAAATGATTCATTTAGAGCAGGGGTGGGGAGCATAAGGCCTGGGGACCAGATGTGGACCCTGGCTTGCCTGGATCTAGCTCCTGAGACTCAGGGCACCTCTACTGCATTGGGGAGCTTGCGCTGCTACTCCATCCCCCACCCCTCCATAGGGCTGGAGCACACAAAATTCACTAGCCTGGGACCCTCTAGGCTCTGGTATGCAAGGTGAACGTGGGAAGTGTCTCTCTCCTTCTCAGTCAGGGACCCCCAACTGATTTTTCTGTGGGTCAGCAGCCCACCCAACCCAAAAAAGATTCCCCAGCCCTGATTCAGAGATTTTCTTCTATTGACAACTGTGTAGAAATAAACACATTCCTGAAAAAACATGTAGATTAACAAAACTATATTTTTCAACAAAACATTTTTCTGAGCATATATAACTAATGGGCCAAAGCCAGCTCTGTACTCACTTTGTGTTTATTTTGTGTTTAAATGACCGTAGCAGGGGGAAACACATAATATGTCTGGCTTCTCTGGATTTACACCAGCCTGGAGCAGAGCAGAAGAGGTCTAATGCATGTATTTATTCACACACATTTGCAAGCTGTAGGGATTTCAAGATGTCCAACTTCAAATATGGGCAAGGCAGAATATGAACATTTGAAAAACCGGAGCTCGCATTGGAGCAGAAAAGCCAGCTTCACTACAAAGAAATGCTTGTGCCTCTTTAATTACCCTTCTTCACCTATAGGTGGATTTTTCCACTCAAGCTGTTTCAGAAATGAGGCTGTGAGCCTGGGAAGAGATTTCTGTGTTTGTCTTTGCACAGCAGACGCTGGCTCTGTTATGTGGCTGGAGTTTGATTCTAATGATTTCCTTAGTTTATTCTCCCTTATACCTCAGGGAAGGAAGAGGTGATCCTCCTGAAAATTCATATAATTGCTTTTATTTGATTTTTATTAAACCTCACTCAAGGATAATATGATGGCTTTCTTTATTATCTTGCTCATCTCTATGGCATTTTAAAATTTGCTTTTATAACAGCCTCCTGAGCCAAAGATCTAATTCAAGGATTGTAGCAGGGATGGCGAGAACTGGAAGTTGTGTGTGTGTATGGGGGGAGGGTTGTTTTGCATGTCAAAACCTTTGTAACAGGGACACCAATTATCATGCCCACTTTGTATATCAAAATAGCCTTGCTCCTTTGCAAGCTCCTCTAGCCAAACTATTTTGCCATTTACCTAATGCTTTCCACACATATTAGGAATCTGCTTTGCCTGTTTGCAGCCTCTCTCCTCTTCTGTGGAGGCAAGACAGATATGTCCTTACCTAACTCTGTGCCAGAACACCAAAGGGGATGTAGGATATGCCAGGGGACTTCCCTGAAGTATGCAAGGGCCATAGGGTTGCCAATGTTGTATTTTAAAAATGAGGCATTTTTCTTAGCATTCTGTCGCAATCCCTTCTAATGGTGCCATTAATAAATAATACTAAACCATACTCACCTACTTTTGCCAGGTGTATTTCTTCCTGCTTTTTGCAGCATTCAGCCACTGCCCATCTGCAGAGAAGAAAAAAATTAGGGACATTCTCTTTAATAAAAGGACTGGAGGTATCTGGAGGCCGGTTGTGACTGAGTTTGTTTCCCATGTTTCAGAGGGGTAGCCGAGTTAGTCTGTAACAGGAAAAACTTAAATAACAACAAATAGTCTGGTAGCACTTTATAGACTAACAAAACATGTAGATGGTATCATGAGCTTTTGTGGGCACAGCCCACTTTTTCAGATGACCGGAGTGTTGGAAGTCCAGATCCAAGAATAAATAAGGGAAGGAGGCTATGAGGGAAGAAAAAAATTGTAGAGTGGGGGGAAGATGACATTGCATAGATAAGTTTCAAAGGGATAGCCAAACCAGTCTGTAACAGGAAAAACTTAAAAAACAACAAATAGTCTATTAGCCCCTCAAAGACTAAATAGTTAAAAGAGGCTGATAAGAATCATTAGTTTGCACTAGGAAAGGAAGAGTTGTTTCCCATGCATCTCAACAATATGCTGCCCATTCCACAGGACTCATGGGAAAACCAGGATAGGGTCCAAACATTTAATCCTCATAACAGCCCTCTGAGGTTGGTAAATACTATTATCCACATTTTACATGTGGGAAACTGAGGCAGAAAGGGACAATAACTAGCCCAAGGTCACTCAAGTCAGTGGCAGGGCCAAGACTAAGAACATGCCATATGCCTAACACCAAACGACAACCCGTCAAAATAACTTTTGGCTACATCTATACGACAGCACTTACAGTGGCACTGATACAGCTGTAGTACTTGTGGTGAAGACGCTCTAAGCCGAGAGGTGAAAACTCTCCCGTCAGCTTAATAACTCCTGCCTGTGCAAGAAGTGTAGCTATGTTGTGGCCTAGATTGGCACTTAGGTCAGTATATCTTATATTGCTCAGGGGAATGTGGATTATTCACATCCCAGAGCAATGTAACCTGTAATGTAGAAAAGATCTAAATACCTTCCTCATTACTTATGAAACAATCACCACACAATCTAGTTGGAGAGAGATTATGAATGACACTGAGAAGATCTGTCTAACTAGGCAGACACAAGATGGGTGAGGAAATACCTTTTATTGGACCAACTTCTGTTAGTAAGGCTACATCTATATTGTACAATTTGAGCTATGCAAGTTGCATATCTTATTTCAATCTTATTTTGAAATTGCTCATTTTGTAATTTGGCACTATCTATACAGCGCCAAATTTCAAAATAACCTGCTCTTCTGAAATGTTCCTTATTCCTCATAGAATGAGGTTTACAGGGATGTTGGAATAGTGAGTCTGAAATAACGGGCTTGCTGTTAAGACGCAGGATAGCTATTTCGGGATACTCCGGTTGCAGTGTAGACGTAGCCTTAGAGAAAAGCTTTCTAATTACTTAGAGCTCTCTCCTTCAGGTCTGGGAAAGTTTGTTGTGTTTCTTTTGAGGAGGGAATGAAGTTATTTTGGAAGCTTGGGTATTCCTTTTTGTTATGCTTGATTCCAGCTGGCACTGTTCTTTTCTCTTTACTCTTAGCTTTCCCTAGAATAAATCCTTATCTATGGGTCTTTGATTCCATGCAAAAATATCATAGACTACTGTAGTCATAGGAGTTGTCTTACAGTTTATGCTTCTGCTCCCTAGGTAGGAACACAGACTGTAAATAACTTAACATTTTTAGTCACCAAGCCTTGGAGAGGGAGGAATAAGGAAATATTTGGCTTTTTAGAAGTGAGGAAGTGTATGTCTGAGTAGTCAACAAACCCAAAGTTGGGTTTTCATTGACTTTATTCTGAGATCTCGGAATACATCAGATCCAGAATATGCAATGGAGAGCTCTACTTGTATTGGACAATAGAATTTTTCCATTCTTCATATCTCACCTCTAACATGGGACTAACCATGAGTCGGTTGTTATTTTGGTAAGTGCAGTTGCACCAGTTGGTCCAGGTTATTACCATACATAGAAGTAGGGACAACAAAGAAGTATTCAAAAACACCGAGGCTGTGTCTACACTGGGCCACTTATTCCAGAAAAGCAGCCGCTTTTCCGGAATAACTTGCCAGCTGTCTACACTGGCCGCTTGCTTTTCCGGAAAAGCAATGACGATCTAATGTAAAATTGTCAGTGTTTTTCTGGAAAAACTATGCTGCTCCCGTTCGGGCAAAAGTCCTTTTCCGGAAAAACTGTTCTGGAAAAGGGCCAGTGTAGACAGCACAGTAGTCTTTTCCGCCAAAAAACCCCGATCGCGAAAATGACGATCGGGGCTTTTTTCCGGAAAAGCACGTCTACATTGGCCACGGACGCTTTTCCAGAAAAAGTGCTTTTCCGGAAAAGCATCCTGCCAATGTAGACGCGCTTTTTCCGGAAATACTTATAACGGAAAACTGTTCCGTTTTAAGCATTTCCGGAAAAGGGGGCCAGTGTAGACGTAGCCAAAAGGTTCTTTAAGGGGATGAACAAATGCCAGTGAGGAATGAGTCTTAGAAGGGGTTCAAATCTGTATCCAAAATAAATGTATTTTCTTTGCACTCCTCAATCATCTGCAAGTGCCTCAGAAGCAGGTTTTTAGAGAGTATTTTAGCACCTCCACTGCTCCCAAGGGTGGTGGAAGATGAACATTTTTCTATTTTCTTTCCTTCCCACCAGCTCAGCATATGCCTGAGCTTGAAGCTATTTTCCATTTAGGTTGAGGGAGAATGTTCAGGTGTGTATCGCTGAGGAAAAATAGTAAGAGGTCAACATGTCTCCATCAGGAGCTTTTTAATGACCAGACAATCAAAAAGGAATCCTACAAAAAAAAAGTGGAAGCATGGATGAATTGCTAAGGAGAGTCCAAAAGAATAACGCTAGCACATCAGAATAAAGTCAGATAAGACCATCCAGTGAGGGCCACAAAGGCAAGGAGAAGAGATTCTATAGATTAGGAGCAGCAGAAAGATATAGGAAAATGTAGATTCTCTACTTAGTGGGGAAGGAGAACTAATAACAGATTATATCAAGAGGGCGGAAGAGCTGAATTTACAAAGGTGATCAGCTTCTCCACCCAATTAAATACTAACAAAGGAGAAGGAATGCAACCCAAATAGGGAAA